AGCCGGCGGCCGCGGCGAGGTCTCGTTCGCGCGCAGCCCGGCCTGGTCGCGCCTGGGAAGGAGGCTCCGAGCGCCGTTGGGTTTTCCTTTCTTCCTGAGCCCTGGGGGCGTCCCTGCGCCGCGTGCGGGGGGCTTGTTGACGCGAGGGCACTGGACTGCGAGTTTGCAGGGACGGCTCAAACAAAGGGAGCGGTGGAGGAGCGCAAAACTCGGTCACGAGGGGAGGCTTAACCTGCCCGAATCAGACTTAACGCTGCATTGCATCTCAAAGGATGAGGCCTTATCCTCGTAAAAACGTGCGGTTTTTCTTAAGTGCAAGTGGGGCGGGGGAATGGAAGAGGAAAATGGACATCTTTCCTGTTGCTTTTGGCTCTTGTTCTGCCCCAGTAGTTTTACTTTAATTTGACGCCTAAAAATCTCAGATGGAGAGAACCTGATAGCCAAGTCTTCAGGTGACCGTTGCTGGCCAAAGGAGATACAGGTACAATTTTCCAGAATTGTCTTTGAAGCCATTTAGCTCATTCTCTCTTAAGCATAAACATGGGCGCCGTTTAATTATTTGGTATAAAATACATGTTTGTAGAAATTACTGGTCATATTTTAAAGGAAACTTTTTCCACATTGTGGAGTTTGATTCTTTGTTGTTGTTTTGGCCCACTGTAAACTTTTTGGAAAATGTCTGCTATCTTCTCCACCCCCGCTCTCACTCTGAGAATGCTGAGTGGGTTTTTTTTTTTAAGCTGCTCTTCATGTTAAGATGACCTAAACTAGGCAATCTAAATAAGGTAATGCTGTTTGTTTTATACTCTAACATGAAAACATGCCCCTTCTGAGGTCTTTGTGTGCTAAAGTTCTAAGTTTTTTCTTCTTTGAGGCAATCTGGCTGAGGAAAAAAGAATCACTTAAGGCTTTCATTATAGTATGTCCCCAGTTTAGACCGGCCACTTTTACACCAATAACCAGGTGCTTAAGGTGCATTTCTCATCTCCACTTTGTTAAAAACAGTGGCCCCATCTTGCCCACGGAAACAGCCTTGGTCTTTGGTTCATTCTGTAAATATTTGCGTGCCTTGTCTGTGCCAGTCACTGTGGTTGGGACACATAATATTGCCACACTGTGGCACTAACAATGGTTGCCTATTTTCTGGTGTGGAGGAGAACAGTAAGGGTCATGTGGAAGGTAGGAAGAGGAAGCGAGGCCAGCTGTTCTGGAGCAAGAGCTGGCCCTGTAGTGTTTTGAAATCTGTGGTTTGTCTTTGGAACTTGGTTCCCCTAGGCCCCAAATCGGTGACCATCTCTTTAGATTCTTTCCTCCAAAGTGCTAAAACTACTTGTTGCTTGCCTGTCATCCCGAACAAAAGCCCCATCCTTGAGAAAGCTTGTTTAAGGTGTTTGGATAGAAGGGTACTGGGAACTAAGGTGCACTGATGTGTGTGATTCCCGTCACTGGGAAGGTAGCTATGTAGGATTAAACGTGTCGTGCTGTAGGAAAATTGTGTAACACTAGAAAGTAATTTGGCACCTTAGCCTGTTTCATCTGCAAAATGGAATGGTGAAATATTTACCTCATAAGGTTGTTGAGATGCTTAAATGGTTCCTGCTTTTTTAAGAGAGGGATCTTGTTAACCTAAATGAATCTCTGAATTAGTGGGGTTTTAGACACTGCATCAAAGTGAACCCATTGGAGCAGTGTGTGAAGATGGTCTGTGATCAGTTCACTGAGTGTTTTTCTGCTCTTCTCGCTTATTTAGTATTTGCACATGAGTTTGCTCCAGGTTTTCTCATGGTGTTGGTGGGATCCTACAGGTGGTTTGTGCTAAGAGGTCTGCGCACATAGGTTCTCTCTGTCCAGCAAATATGAATTGAAATCGTACTGCATGCCGAGCACCATTTATAATGTATTGGTGATGAAGGAGGGACAACAGCCGTGAACAAAACAGATAAAAATCCCTCCCCTTCCTGAAGCTCCCATTCTAGTTGGGGTCTTTGTAAGCCAATTTACCTGTAAATTGTTTCTAAACCTATGCATTTACATGAAATCCAAGATACTTTGCTACATTTGCAACAAGAACTTAGGGATGTATTTTGAAAAACAAGAATGGTGGTAGAAATCTGTTAAAATTATTCATGTTTAAGAAAATGGCTTATGTCAATATTTCAGTTTTTGAAAATGGCTTAAAATTGGAATAATGTTTGAATATTTCACATTATGATATTTTTTATTTAGTGAGTTTCACATTTTTAGAAAAATTATTGCATTCCTTATGACCTTTATGCTTTTATAGTTTTGAATTGAAGAAAATTCTTAACATCTTTATTGAGGACTTACTGTGTGTCGACACTAAACAAAGTGATGTTCTGTTTACAAAAATAAAAAGTTTCAAACAGTTCCTGGCCAACAAACAAACAAAAAACCAGCTGTGGTCAGTAGATGTGTAATTAATGAAAAGTCACTTTGAGGGTAAATGTGTGGTAGAAATGAACATAAAGACAAAATAACCTTGCAGTTTTCCTAGAGCTTAATGTAATAATGACTTATTTTAAATCTCTGACTCGGTTTGTGAAATTAGAAACCTTTCTTTGGTATTTTGCGGTGCTATCAATTAAGCATGCATGAATTACTGAACAAGATTTATTTGTCCCATACCTTTGAAGGGCAGATTGGCAATTTTTCCTTAGATGCTGTGGTATTTTAAAAACACATTTCGAAAAGTGTTAAAATTTATAAAATACTTCATAGACAAGTGTACTTAGAAAATATATTTTTTATCATTAAAAAGAATGCATTTGTAAATGGAGATTCCTTTGGTGCTAACAAATTGTGTATTTTAACTGGTAAAGAATTCATTTTTAGAAATGTTTTTATGTGGTGATCGCAGCTTTTTTGCAAAGGGCGAGCTTAGAACTAGAAACAATGGAAACTAGCTAGTGTAGTATCTGCTGTGGAGCAGACATTGTAAATGTGCTTTATGTGTGCATACTAACTTTTTGTTTGAGCCTAGAGTGGGGGTTGGGAGAGGAGAGGGCCCTGTGTTGATGATGTCATTATGTATGCAGATGTGCTGGTGGGAAGAATTTGGTATGAGCAACTTTTTGCTTTGCATAGAAATGTTCAGGATTGGATTTTAGGCGGTTCTGAATGATGGTTGTTCTGTATTTTAGTTGTAATTTTGATGTGGTTGTGGGAGGAGGTGAGTACCACATTTACCTATGTTGTAAATCTTTTAAAACAGACGTACCAGAATATACCTATTAAGGAGAGTGGTGTGTTTTTTCAAACCAATCACGTGTGTGTATATGTGTGTACACATATACACATATTGTGCAGCAATGAAAAATAAATGTAAACACTTTTAGAATTTGTTTTGTGAGATTATGTGTAGTATATCAAATATTTGTCTTTCTAGATTTGAATTTTGACAGTTGACATTTTGAGGCAGTTATTTTCTTCTGTGCTTATAAACTCTGTCTTTAGATAATGTTCAGAGAGGAGTTCAGTAGTGTTTTGGGCCATGTCCGCATTGGTGGGATGAATGCATAGCCCTCAGAGCTGGTTCTTTTAAGCGTAGTAATCTTGACTTACTTACAAAATGAAACTAAGTTTTCAGGACTATCAACGTTTGTTTCGTCTTCCTTAGGATATTTTATTCACTAGACATTCATATTTTCCATAAATTGTAGTAAGGATAGCTTTCTGTACGGTTGGAGGCAATTTTGAATAAAACAAAAGGAACCCTTCAAATGTCAAATTGAATAAAGAAAAAAGTACTTAATATGCACCTACTCTATGCTTGTGTTATGTAATTCCTGTGGTGGTACAAAAGACAGGGTATGTAATTCCTGCCTGGGAGAACTTCATCCTTTTGCTGAGGACATCAGCCTTGTCTAGATGGCACAATGAGGACATGTCATTGCAGAAGATGGTGTGGCTCTCTTCAACCTATAGGAGGATTTTGTTCTGAAGCAGGGCTCTGCAAACTACAGCCAGGAGGCCAGCCACCTATTGTTTTAAATAGTTTATTGTGGGGAGTGGCACGATGTCACAGGAATGGGGGCAAGAGAGATCCCCTTGACTTCTCCCTCTGAAACTTCAATAAGTTCATCAACTATAGCTCAACAAAGGATTCCCTGCTCAACATAGAGGCATGCCTGAGAGACCCAAGCATTGAAGCATCTAAAGATGGGCAAATGGGAGCAGACTGGGAGGCGAGAAGGGAGGAAAGCTCAGAAGGCCACAGATGCAGCCCTGCAGCTGAAGGCTGGTGGTAGTAGGCACTTCCTTTGGCAGGGTAGAACAGAGTGTTTCAGTGGGCACTCCAGCAGGGCAAACGGTGTGAACTGTCGCTGAGCCAGCTGAGAAGCCTGGGCAAGGACACATTGCAGGGGTTCTACTGCAGCTGTCCATCCTTTGGTGTTCCAAAGAAATGGCGCCACAGAGCCCTGCCACCCACTGGACTCCCCAACTTGCCTCCTGTCACCCTTGGTGTTGGGTTGAAGAGCACATTATCTATAAACTGAGAGCTATTGCAGCAGAATCAGTTTCCATCTGTGACTGATCCCCATGTGGGGTGTGTGGAGGGGGTGACCCCGGTGGAGGTTCCCACCACCATTAAGGTGAGGGCAAATAAGCCCCACCCCCAAGCAGCAAGCAGCATTGTGTTGTACTGTCTGAGGGCAGCTGCTGAAATCAGTTGAGGGAAGTTACAGAGGTAAGAATCTTGTAATTCAGCGCCACCTACTGGAAAAATAGTAGAAAGACCTCCTCAGAGAAAGCTGCTGGAGAAGGACCAGTAATACATAGATGCCTAGACAAAGGAGATCAGCAAATACTGTGAATAACCATAACGAGGTATCTCAGAAAGAAAATGAAAAGTCTCCAGAAAGCAAACTGGAACACATGGAAATATGTGATATAAATGACAGAGAATTCAAGATTGCAGTTCTGAAAATACTCCATGATATTCAAGAAAATACAGACAGGCAATTTAATGCATTCAGAAAAATTAATGAACAAAATGAGTACTTTACCAAAGAGATTGAAACTTTAAAAAAGAACCAATCAGAAATCCTGGAAATGAAGCATTCAATTAAGGACATAAGGAGTGAACTACTGAGCATAGGAAACAGCCAACCAGATGGAGGACAGAATTAGTGATATTAAAGATAGGATTCTAGAAATGATGCAGAGGAAAGAAGAGAGAGACCTGAGCATAAAAGAAAACAACAAAAACAAAAAAGCTCTGCAAGAACTAGCTGACTTCATCAGAAAGCAATACAAGAATAATAGGCATACCAGAAGAAGAGAGGGGGAAGGGAACACAGAAGCAGAGCCTATTCAAACAAATAGTTGATAAGAACTTCCCAAAGCTCTGGAAAGAACTAGATCCTCGAATCCAAGAAGCAAACGACACCTAGTTACCTCAGTCTGAAGAGGCCCTCTCCAAGGCACATTGTATTAAAACTGGCAAAAATTAATGACTGA